TTTGACGTTTCAAGACGTAATGCGCATTCATGCACAGGGCGTTGTTTGTTCTTGGGTACCTTTTTCCCTGTAGTATCGCCGAGATTCTTCTTCACTGTTCCTTTTCCAACTACATTCTTGTCTTGTCTATTTCATTGCAACATGAATACGTTCTTGCTTTTATCCGAACTGACACACGCGGTTCCAATAACTATTTTGTTTTTACTCTGAAGTATGTATACGTATATATTCAAGAAAGTAAGTAATGTAATGCTGCGGAAAATCGATTTCAAGATTTCAACGAAAATACACGTTTTGGGGTCCCTGGTGCCGAAAAAGTTTTTCTTTTTTCCCCCCCCCTAAAACATCCGTCCGTCTGCGAACACCACTACGCTTAAACCATACGTACGATTTCTTCGAAAATGGATATTCCCCCGTCAATCTGGCGCGACTCGAGGAGCTACGATTTTGAAAAACTTAATTGAAAATTTGGAGGTACTTTACATGAAGCCTCCAGGATATAATCAAACTTTTCTCAAAAAACGGCTCCGAATGTTCTCTTTAAATTTCTTGTACGAATGGCGAAAAAAACTTGTAAAGGTGGCGTAGGTCCGATATTCACGGTAAACTCCGTATTTTCGTAAACTACAAAATGTTGAATTTTTTTGGCGCCTTCCAACAACTACAAAATTGAAGATTAAAGATATTTTACTTCAAAAAAATTTGTGTTCATAATAAATTCTTCCATTAAAGTCATGTTCATTTTTTGTTTATTTTGAAACTGTTAGTATTCTTACAATATTTGCAATTTTAAAAATAACAATAAGATTTTTCAAAACGGTTCCAATTTTTTCTTTACATTTTTGATAGGAATAGTGCTAAATGAACTCTAAAAGATGACATTAATGCCAAATTACTCTATCCCTTTGTTTGTTCAAAAATTACAAAGATGTTTTAGACTTGTCTCTCATATCGTTAATATTTACATTAGCGGTGATTTGTTTACATTATTGTATTTATGAGTTCATGTGCTTTAAATAAGGTCATACAAAGTTTCCGAAAACTCAACAGTTTTCTGTTAAAATGAGCTTAATTTTTGTGTTTTCAGAAACGTTTAAATGCCATTTTCTCAAAAATGGCTCCAAATGTTTCGTTGAAACTTTTCCAACGGGTGGTGCTAATTGTACTGTTAAAATGACCTATTCATTTTTCTGTATTTCTTTAAACATTTTTTCCCGCCCTCAAAATGCATATGTCCAGCGATTTATAAACACTATTGCATTTGTGAGTTGAAGTGCCTCAAATGACTTTAAATGAAGTTTTTCGAAAACTCAAAAATTTTCTGTGAAAATGAACTTTAAATTTCGCATTTACAGTAACGCTTAAACGCCATTTTCTTTAAAAAGCACCAAATTTTTTAATGAAAATCGCCATTTATGACGGTTTTCTTTCATCTTTAATACTCTTTACGCCATACTTTGATTTTCCTTTAGGAAACAAAATACTGAGAAAATTTGGTACTTTGGACGACGATAGATGGCAGCTGGTAAGAGGATGCTACAAGACCCTAAAGCCAGTCCATACCAAGGAAATTAGAAAACTTTACTTCGAGAAAGTCTGTGCCATTCTGTAGCACTAGTTTGTTTTGAGCGCGTCAACTAGTTGTCATTAATCCCATAAGTGTTATATCCCGGAAGGTGGTGGGGTTCGCCCGCGGCTGCCCAGGAGCTGTTGCAATCTTTTGGTTACGCTCCGAACTAACAGGAAGCAGTTGACAATCGACGTCAAAGAAAGTTGTACAAAAGAAATGAGTATTTGGTCAACTGGAAAGGAATTCGCGCGGTTTTTTTGAGCTTTTGATCTTAACGCGGGAAGTTTAAAATTTATGTTTTCTTCTGAAATGCCTTCAAAGAGTAACGAAATTGAGCTGTTAATGTGTGGCGCCAAATTTGAACAAATTGCCATATTTACGTATGCCAACAGACATTTACGTGTGTCATTGCTAATACCAACACAAGCACTACAATATAACATGCATTTATTACATCTCATTTTCAACCCACCAAAAGAACCGTACTACTGACATTCTAAGTAGCCTCCGGAATATAAATATAGGAGTACACTAGTCAACAAGGTTTTCTTCACAAGAAACCTGATTAGTGAATCTAGTGCTCTTTTTATACTGAATTCAGAATTGTATTCAGAATTTTTCCATCAGGCACTGCTTTCTTTTGATTGCTCCTTTTCAAAATTTGTTTTTAACTTTCTCTTTGACCTGTCATAAGAACCTTTACCTTATATGTAGCGATTTCTCAAGACCACTTCATCCACTTCTCAAGAACATTCCATATCGGCACCGTTACATAGACGACACCCTTGTTCTCTGGACCGGTACAACTAGACAAATTGACCCCGTTTACTGACTTTCTCAACAACACATATCCTACTATTCAATTCACCACAGAACTACAGAAAGAAGACTAATCTATCAATTCCCTAGACCTGAAAATAATCATATCAATATTTTAGAAAATCGACGTACACAGACACTGTCATCCACAACTCTTCACAACACCCTATTCAACATAAACATTCTGCCTTCCACTACATGATACACAGATTACTAAGCCTGCCTCTGACAAAATCTCATTTTCTGGAAGAACTGAACACTATACAAACACATTGCTATGTCAAACAGTTGCAGTACAGAACTCATTAACAACATACTACGCCGCAAAATAGTCAAACAGAAACAAAAAATGTACACTACACTTTCTCCAATAACACCAACACCAGACAAATACACTTGCTTACCTTATTTTGGACCATTCAGAAAAAGTCGCACACAATATTCACAAAGCAGGTATCAAAGTTTCATTCAAATCTCAGAATTCCCTCAAAAAATGCTGTCTCCCAAACAACACACAGATCTTTTAGAAAAATCAGTGTTTATGCACTAAATTGCCATGACTTCGAAGCCAAATATATTGGTCAAACAGGCAGAACCTTTAATACCACAATTAAGGAACATATATACGCTTGGAAACACAACACCCGTAAATCTCACTTTGCCAATCATTTACTCCAGACAGGTCATGCTGCAATCCACACACAGATATTCATATACTGGAAATAGAAAATCAATGCCACATTAGATTAACTTTAGAAAACCTGCATATCCATTTAAATAACTTACTGAATGAAAACATAACCATAGCCCCTCTCCTCTACTATTATTATTATAAGACACCTCTCTCACACCGCACTCCCCCGGCACAGTACACAGCGCACCGCACCCAGGCCATTGCCCTCCACCCCTCAGCCAGGTACTTAGGCCCCTTGGCTCGCCCGAGCACACGTCGTAGTTTTTGTGGCTTCCATACAGCAGGTAAGGAATAGCTCAACTTACCATGTTTTCTGTTTTCAAATTTTACATGTTCTAATTCGATTTCATTCACTTTTCTTGTAGTATTAAAAGACTTAACACCCCCCTTTTCTTTCTTTTGGTTATTAAAACTTTAAATATATTTTCCAAAAATTGTAAATTATTAGTAATCTTTTATTATAATTTTGTCGTCAAATCAAAAAAAATTTCACGTTTTAATGTTTTTTGGTTTTCTTCTTGTACTACACAAGTGATGATGGCGAAGCCATCGAAAGCTGCTATTATAATAAATATTGTTGGCAATGACGACTCATAATTATTTCATTGTAAATGCCAACGAAAACTCGCCACAACACCAATACCGAGAAATTAAACAATTTTCAATAAATCTATGTTCTGTGTTACTACCATTACAGTGCAGGTATATCCGCGCAACATCACTGGTAGTTGTGGAGTTATTTTTTACTTCGAAATTTTAAACATTACCCCTCTCTAAAACAGATCTATTTTTTTTTTTTTTAAATCTTCTCATAAGTACCAAGGGGCAATATAAAAAATTGGTACTGGTCCCATTTTTTTCAAACTCTGCATTTTTGAAAATTGCAGAAGTACACAATTGAATACGGTGATTTTTGTTTTAAACGAAATTATTCTAAAAAGTCATAAACAAAAATTATATACCCCCCTTTTTTTAATAGGTTTTTTTTTCCTTTTGCATAATTTCTGCTTGAAATTAGCTTGTATTAAAAAATAATGCTAAAAAATGCTACAATGTTCATTTTTTCTACGAATACACTTTAAAGAATACATAATACTTTAAAGAATTGAACAGGTTTCATTTTTCCGTTAAACACACATTGCAAATGATTTTTTAATTCCCCCCCCCTCATTTAAGAAAATACGAGGAAGTATGTGATGTTGTAGCTCCATTAGTTACATTTGTGTTAAACATGACGATTGAAAAAAATCATACAAGGTTTTCAATTATGTTTCAATTAAAGGTGAGAAAAATATCATTTGTGCAGTATTTATGTATATACTTTAATGAAAAGCTAAAAGGTAGTTACTCGATTCAGACTTTTTTGCCTGAATTTCACTGACAAGGATAGAAAGGATTTCTCAGAATAATGATGAAAGCAAACATTCTATCAATGTAACTATATTATGTTACCTCCAGAAATTTGCTAAACAAGTGTATAAATAAGGATAAGAAAAATGTTTAGTGTCAATTTAAATGCCTATTTTATGTTTATAAATGCATATTTTACTTTTTTAAATGCCTCTTTTGTCTGCCTATTTCTAGTTTTTCATGCCTAGAAATTTGCAGTTTAGTAAATATTAAACCCTTTCTTTACACTACAAATAAGCATTTTATTATTTTTCCTCCATCCTGAATTTTGTTCCGATTATTTGAAATTTTGGATTTGCAGGGCTCTGACTAGCGAGGTTCTATAGTGTTACATAAATGGAGCCATGAGAACATATCACATTTTGTAATTTATTGTTGTAAAAGTGAAAATATCTTTATAATGGATCCCAACATTGAGCAGTCAGCCCCTGACCAGAACATCAGCGCATTCATGGATGGTCTTATTATCGTGTGTATTTAATTTTACATGTTTCAAGGTTCTACTCGAGCTTTAAGGGCCTAGGACACATCCGAGTTATTCAAGATGGTTAAGTGTTGCAGCATAATATAGGTTGCAGGTTGTTAGATCACCTGATTTCTTAAATAAAAGGAGTGTCCATAAAATAAGTTGAATAAATTTGCAAAGAACAATTTATTGAAAATAAAGGAAAATTCAAACCAAAAAAACAGGCAATCGTCAAATAACATTACATTCAATCATACTTGATGAGTTTGACAAGAGATTGTTTGACAGGCATTAGTTTAAAATTTTTTTTCAAATAACTCAGAATCACATAATTTTAAACTTAACAAGTTTTTAATTTTCATTACTTTAAGTTTGTTCTGAGATGTTTCAACGACGGGGATTTTTCCCATCTTAGGCTACAATGTATATAAGAGAAAACTGAAGTTTTTAAAGAAGTTATAAGTTAAATAACAGTTATCAATAACTTGTTATTAACATTCTTTAAAAATCTCAATTTTCTCTTACATTCTTTGCAGTCTGCAGACAGGGGAAAATTCTATGTCCTTGAAACGTCACAAAACAAACTTCGTGTAATTAAAAATAAGAAAATTTAAGTTCAAAATCATGTGATGAGTAATTTCAAAAAGATGTTTTAACTAGTGTCTCTTAAAAAAATCTGTGACCAAACTCACGGAATTTGAATAAAAGGACAAATGTTTAATATTATTCAAAATAGCTCCCTTGGGCCCCAATACACTTTTTCCATTGATTCTGGTCTTCCAGCAATTCTTCTGTTAATTTTCGTTGTTGTTTTTTCTTTCCTTTCTTTTTTGTCTTCTCTCTCCTTCTCTCTCTCTCACTCTGTTTTCCGAGTTGTTTTTCTTTTCTTCAAAATGGACAAGACTACGTTCATCCCTATCTTCATGCTTCCTGTAAAAAAGTTAACTCAAACTTTAACTTAAAAATATACCATGACAGCATAATGAAAAAGTAACTACATTTTGAATTTGATTAAACAAACCATATTTATTACCAATTTACTTACATTCCTATTTTAACAGTAACCTTGATCAATGGGTTACATTGCATTCAATTTAACCAATTTTCCACACAACTCACTTGTTGGAATAATTCTGGATGGTCTTTGCTAGAAAAAACAAATATGTATTTTACTTCAAGTTCAGATATTAGAAAAATAATTCGGGATGGATATGTAGTGGGAAAGAGGGAAGGAGAGACAAAGAGTGAGCGAGGAGGGGGTGAGAGGAGGGAAGGGAAGGAAAGAGTGGGAAGGGTGAGAGGGGAGGGAGAGAAAGAGAGTGTGGGTGTGCTAGATTCCTGTGAAGGACAAGAGTACTATAGGCTATGATATACAATCATAAACCTTATAATATTCACAAAATAATTATATTTGTGGCCTTTTTTTTGCTTAGTATTACATCATGGATTCAAGAATGTATCAATGTGCAATAGTTTAGCTGCGCACCACCAGGGGATGATCGAGATCTGCGATTGAGTTTATCAATGCACACAACTGCAAAACTATAGAATAGGAGAGAATTGTTTGATTATTTTTACATTTAATTGTCTAATCTAAAATGTTCTTTCTGTAGAATGATCCTCAGAGTTTTTCTTCACTCTATTTATAAAAGTGACAGACGGATGAATATTTGTAGAGAAGTGTACCTTTGTGTTGGGAAGGAGGGATTATTTAAATGGATGAGAATAAGTTCAGCAAGAAGAAGAATATTTGAAATAAAAGAGTAATGAAAAATGGGTATTTGAAAGAAATGAACATGTGTCAATGGTATTTTTCAAATTTGTTGAGAATAGAACGAAACAGGTTATTTTAAAAAATATAAAAACTTGTGTCTAGCTGGGATGCAGGTGTTCTAGAATTTTTAAAAATAATTCTCTAAGTGGTTAATCACACCTTTCTGTCAGCAACTTTCTCAAGAACCCTAAAATGTGTACTTGAATTCAACTAAAAGAATTTTAAGTATATAATAATATAAGATAAATTGCCTCGGTGAAGCGTTTAAGATCAATAGGGATCAATAGACAAATAGGGGAGAAAAACAATTATGAAAAGGGTAAGTTTTACAATTTGGCAATTGATTGAAAGTATTGGTATAATAGATAAAATACCACAGAAAGAATGTACCTGAGTACATGTTTTCATTTTTGTAAGAGATTTTTCTTATAGTCATAAGTGAGTGAAGAATAAGGGATTGGGAACCCGAATTATATAATATTATATAATATTATATATAATTCGGGTTCCCAATCCCTTATTCTTCACTCATATATATATTTTAGTAAAAATGAGAGTGGCAATGACTGGGTATTTACCAGATGGGAGTAAGGCAGTAACCGGCGGGGCAGGGGGGAGATAATATACAAAAGATAGAAGTACACCTCCGCAGGGCGGGAGTATATAGAATTCCTTTTAGTCTAATAAATTTTGATAAATACCCGAGCAATGTGGAGTACTTTAGCTAGGCTTTCTATATCTAATTTATAATTATATATGAAGAGACAATTGCGTTGAGTTACAGCAAGATGATATATTAATGAACTGAACCACAATTGATGAAACTTTTATGCTAGTTTCCATGGAAGGTCAGGGAACTATAAGTTAAGAATTGCAACCACACAACTTAATATATTTACAAAATAATTAATTTTATGGTATTTTTTCGTCCAGCATTACATCACAGAATCAAGAGTAGTACATGAATGTTCAATAGTTTAGTTGCGAGGCACTAGACGATAATGACTGAGATCAATGAACGAGTTCATCAATATACAGAATTGCCAATCAGTATGATAGAAGAAAGGGCTACTTATTTTAATACATTCAATTGTCTAATCTGAGGTGTTCATGTTTTACAATGATTCTCAGATTTTCATTACTCCTTAAAATGACTTGGATTTTGACACTAATTGCATCTAGGTGTCATGATTGAGTAGTTATTGTGATACTGACATGACTGAGGTACCCCGAAAACTCAAGATTAACCATAAGTCTACAAGAGATATGAAATTATTGAAAAAAGGTCATTTTGTTGACAGAAGTGCGTGATGTTGTCAGTTGCATACCCTTGTCATGCAAAGATGTATGCATACATTTGTCACTTGCAAGATGTGCCATTTGCTCGGTCATGCTCGCTTGAACTTCCCGCGCTCACTTGAGCTGGGCTGATTCATGGGCCCTGACAATAGCAATTACGAACATTGCTTTTGGAATGCGACATTAAGAAAAAAAACATTAGTGTTTCAAAACCTGGATGTTCAAATTTTAAAAAATCAATGTATTTAACACATTTAGTTTGATTAACATGTGTTTTTAAATGTGGTCTAGAAACTACTAACATTTTACATTTGCGCCAGAGAGAATTCAAGGAATTTTTTAATTTTTTTAATAACTAGGAGTTGTATTAATTTGCATCTTTCGAGGTTGATTGAATTTCACTTGCTGTATCGTAGCGAGCAAAACCCTGCCCTACTGGTGTGACATTGATGGATTTTTTTGTAAACTGCCTTGGTGCTCAAGCAAACTCGAGTTGTGCGGTCTACAATACACACGTGTGTTCTGCATGTAGTAGTTATTGGTTGATAAAATTTTAATTAAGGTTTAACCGACAGAAATGCTAAGGTTCAGAGATTCCGCAGTTCGCCATAAAAAGATGTGAAAAGAGGAAGACCCTATGCCTACGGCACATGCACTGACTGCTTCTCCGCTAGTGAAATACGAAGAGGATGTATCAACGCATTGGAGTCACATTTCTAGGAAAAAGTGAGTTAAATCAAAAATGTAGTTACATTCATCAGCAACTTTTGTTTCAATGTACTTGCCATAGTATCGTTAATTATTATTTCATTTTCTTCTACCTTTTACAAAATTATGATATTGCAAGAAGGAGAATCACCTCATGCTGAACTAGTATACACATGTGTTCTGCTTGAAATTATGGATTTAATTGCAGTAAATTAAGCATGATTATTACTTATTTACGAGTTGCACAAGCAAAAGAATAACATATGAATGATTTACATGTTGTGCTGAAAGTGTGACAGATGGATGAAATTTTGTAAGGACGTATATTATTGTAATGGAGAATGAAAGCGTATATTTGGGATGTGAAAGAATGACCATTTAAAATGATTTGTGTTAATGTGGCAAAAGTATAATTAAAGCAATGATAAATGGATTTTTGGAGGAATTGAGATGTCAATTCCCCCTGTTTATCAAGCTTGTTGAAATAGAAACAAAGAGATTATTTTAGATAATAGAAAAATTTTCATCCGGTTGGGATCTACTGAGATCTTGGATTTTTAAGATATTACATCTGTCTTATTGGTTAATGTCCCCTTTATATCACACTATTTATCAAGGAGCCTAACATACTAAAATTCAACAAAAACACATGTACTATCTACACAGAAAATGCCACAATGTAGAATTAAAATCAATTTTCAAATCATCTTTATAAATAAATGAGGAGAAAAAATATGAAAAAGAGTAAGTTTTACAATTGATTGAAAGTATGGGCATGAGATATAAAATTCTACAAAAGAATATACACGAGTATATCTATTTTTGATTTTCAGTTGACATTTTTTTATTATTTTTAGTTATAAAGTAAGAAGTTTGGGTGGCAGGAACCTCAAATGGAAAAAATATAAATAGTTTTACTGAGAAAGTGTGTGAGGAAGAACAGGTATTTCCAGATGGGAGTAAGACACAATGGGGCAGGGAGGGGCAAGGCGGAACTACAATAGAACAGAAGTAGGCAACCCCACAGGTCAGGTATAAATGCAATTCTTCTTCCTGTGTAATAAATTACGATGAATACCCAGCAACTTGGGATACTTCAGCTAGTAATAAAGAGACAAGTGCATTTAGTTTCAGCATGAAAATCTCTGAATGTACTGAACCAATATCAATGAAACTTTTGTGCTAGCTTCCTTTCTACGTCAAGAGTCTAAAGGCTATGATTTATAACCATACACTTAAACACAAGGGTTGTTCAAATTTTATTGCAAATTTTGCAAAGGGTTGTATTGCAATTTTTGTATTTTTTCAAAAAGTATTTATTTATTCATGAATATCTATTTAGTCTTCTTCAGAGAAAGTCCCCTCAGGTATTTATGCCAACATTCTTTCCAGTCCTCAAAGCACTTAAAAAAAATCATTTTTCTGGCCTTGTTCAGCTCCTCTTTTGATGCTATCTTATCTCTTCAATCATGGCATAGCATTGTCTTTCATGGACATCTTCAGTTTTGGGAACAGGAAAAAGTCACAGGGGCCAGGTCTGGGGAATACAGCACCATTACCGTGTTGAATTCTCGGCTATCCGGGAGACGCCGCGTCGTTGGCTGGGGTGCCAACGTTTCGCCTGACATGTCGCAGGCTACCTCAGGTCACTGCCCTGAGGAAGCCTGCAACATGTCAGGCGAAACGTCGGCACCCCAGCCAACGACGCGGCGTCTCCCGGATAGCCGAGAATTCATGGATTCGAGCTGCGGAAGCTTACGTATACACCATTACCGTGTTGTTTTTGGCCATATATTCGCGCACAAGCTATGATGTGTGAGCAGGAGCATTATCATGGTGCAAAACCCAGTTTTTGTTCTTCCACAAATCTGGGTGTTTTTGGCAGATTGATTCGCGCAAATTGTACACAACTTCTCTGACGGTGATTCGACAATTGGTCAATATTAATTTTCTTCACTTTATCAATGTTTTCATCTGTTGTTGAAGTGCATGGTCGGCCGGTACGCTCTTCGTCATTCACATCATCTCAGCCCTCTTGAGAACTTTTTGTACTACCGAAAAACATTGCTTTTGTCCAAGGTAGCTTCCCTACATGCCACAGTTAACATTTGGAATGAATTTTGTTTTTCACATAAAATTTGTTGCAGATTCTCTGATCCATTTTTTGGAACAGCGAAAATCGAAGACGAGACACAATACGTCCAAACAAAACAGACCGCAGCAATTAACTAAACATTCAAAATGGTAGACCTTGTCAGCATAAGTAATGGACACAAGTACCAACATAACACTACCAAAAGAAATAGTACTTAGCCTGAGGAAATTCAAAATTCAATATACTTCTTGAACAGACCTTACACTACCAAAAGAAATAGTACTTAGCCTGAGGAAATTCAAAATTCAATATACTTCTTGAACAGAATGTACAAAATAAATGCTTTGCATTACATCACAAACTGTCTTACATTACATCACAGATTTAAGAGTGCATTTATGTGCAATAGTTTAGCTGTGTGCCACTAGAGGACAATGACAATGATTGAGAATGAAATCTATGATTGAGTCCATCAATGCATAGAATTACATATCTAAAGAATACTGTTTAGTGTTATATTCACTGGTCTAATCTGACATGTTCTTCTTTGAGTGATCCTCACAGTTTTTCTTCACTCTATTTATAAAAGTAACTTGGATATTGATTTTAATTACGTCTAGACGTGTATGTATGAAGTGTACAAGAGATAAGGAATTATTTGAAAAAGTGTTTTTGCTGATGGATGTGCCTGATATTGCCTTAAGATGGTATAAACGCACACAAGTTCTGCAGTAAATTGTTACCGATTTAGTGGTAGTAAATTGACCATGAATGTAGTATTTAGAGTTGAACATTTACAAGTTTTGTGAAATAGAATGATAATGTATATCCTTAAATCCTAACTGACTAGGTTTAATCTGCGGATATAAGACAACCCTGCATTTCTAGACTGAGATATTTAGGAAAACAACATTCTTATATTCAGGTAAATACACTATAGGAAGCGGAATGTGTGAGAGTGGAGTAGTTTTAAAATTAGTAGTATCTGTAAATTTTGTGTATCCATATCTGTAAAGAAAGCTTAATAAATGAATGTTGATGATGGATGATATTTGTAACATCCTCACTTACAAGTAATTCATCCACCGCAATTCAAAATTAGCCTTCTCCGCTATCCAAGCTGCGTAATAAGGTGCTTTTTCAGTTGGTGTCATCTTTCTCTTACGTCGCCATGATTGTTTCTGCGATGTTCTCTCCTCTGGAAACTTGCAAAATATATAGATAAATGAATAAATAAATAAATAAATAAATAATTAAAAACCTTTTAAAATCATGAAAATTTTAATGATTGATTGATTGAGGTTTCAGAAATACAATCTACTCACCTTCTTTGTATATTCCATCTTCAAAAATTCCTTTGGAGAACAAAAAGATTTAGGGAGACCATCAACCTGCAAAAGTAAAAACTTTGACACCTACTTCAGAAAACAATTATTTAAAAAGCTTTAATTCAGCTTTAGGGAAAACATAACCACAGCCCTACAAACCTCATGATTTAAAATGGTCATAGAGTCAAAGGACGTATTTTGAAAGAAAGTCCTTTTTCATTCTCGTTTCCACATGTATACACATAGTAATATTCGTAGAATGGAGAAAGTTATGCAATGCTGAGGAAAATCAATTTTGAGATTTCAAAAGGAATCATGTTTTGAGCTTCCTTGATACCAAAAAAGTGTTTTTAATTTAATTTAATTTTTTTATTGAATTTCTTTTCTATTTATTTAATTTAATTTATATTTGCCTCTCTCCCTCTCCCTTTCCTTACCCCTCCTGCTATGGGACAAGGGAAAGTATGATAACTGATTCAAATGGAACCAAAGTTAATGCGGAACCCAAAGTTAATTACAATATTTGTTTACAGATACATTAAATTTAACAAGTGTGTATAGCATTGAAATAAACACCATTTGGTTACTCTCTCCTGTTTCTTTACAACAATAAAAGTTTAAGTTAAAATTAAATTTGAAATAGGGAGTTTAATTGAATCAATTTTCCTTATACCACTCTTGCGGGCAACAAGGAGCATCACAACGTGATTATTGTTATTGATCTCACTAAATTGCAGATGAGCATCTTTTACTTTTCTATTTAAAATAGAATTTCTTTGTGTTGATGGTTTTTGTTCTGTTTTCCAATGTTTCTGCAAATGTGCTAGATGTGTGGAAAAATGTTGGGGACAGATTCTCTAAGACTTCTTATCTGGCCTGTTAAACCCATATCTATCCACAGAACAAAAATATTGTGAGCAAATAGTTGAAGCAGATATCGGTCGCCAGTTCTCACTTCTAATGGCAATAATTCACGCTTTCATGAAATCTTGAATTGGAAATTAATGAAAAGTCAGAATGAAATACGAATGCAGTAGAGCTTATTATGTTGAATTACAAAACATACTACAGGGACCACAAGCTTTCCCCCTTTCACACTTGTTTTATTAGTAGTTTAATAAAACAATCTTCAGAAAAATTATAATCAACTGACCATGAAATTTATTACCTAAAGGGGTGTAGCAAATTAAGATAAGCAAAGCTGCACCCAGGGATAACATTTTTTTATGATGAAATTCCTAATTGAATTTAAAAACAACAAGTTTTTCACTGGATTTAAATCAATTTACCCGGAGGACTTCCTACAAATCAAACTAGTGGTGCTTCAAAATGGCACAGACTTTCCTGTATTAATTTTCTATATCCTTTGGTCTCAGCTAACTATTCGAACGTGCAACATACTTGTACTCTAGCCAAGTGCCAGCTATCTACAGCCAAAGTACAATTATAAAAAATTCTTAGTTTTTCAAGTTTCCTAATAGTTACTTAGGAATATAGAAATGTTATTTTAAGACAATTAACGAGCAGTAAAACCCCATCATAAATTGCAATTATCTTTGAAATATTTGGAGGAGTTTTTAAGAAAATAGTGTTTAAGAGCTACTGTAAATTCAAAATTTGAAGCCCTTTTTCACAGAAAATTGTTGAGTTTTCGAGAAACTTTATATGACATTATTTAAAGCATATGTATTCATAAATATAATAATGAGAACGAATCGCTCTAATGTAAATATTAATAATGTAGGATGCAAGTCAAGAAGGTACATTTTTGAACTTTTTGAAAAAACAAAAGAATACTGAAAACTGACGATTATGTCATCTTGTTGATTACTTTTAGCACTATCCCTACCAAAAGTTTAAAGAAAACATTTAGAGTCGTTTTCAAGAAGGTTTTTGTTACTTTTTAATATTGCATATAACATTATATGAAAACTATCATAAGTTTAAAATAATGTACAGGACCTAAACATAAGAAAACTAATTAGGGATAAATTTCATTTGAATGACAAAATTTCTATTTTCAATTTTGTACTTTCAGGAAGACTATGAAAAAATTCAAACCTTTGAAATTTTCAAAAACTCAGAATTAACCTTGAATATCAGACCTATGACATCTTTATAGGTGTATTTTACTCTATTCTTATAAGAAATTGAAAGAAAAAATTTGGAGTCGTTTTTGAGAAAATTTTGAAAATGTCAAAAGGCTTTATGTAAAGTACTCCCAAAAATTAATAAATATGTACCCCAAAAGAGGAGCGGTGTATTAAGAGGAGAGTATTAAGAAGTGCGGGATATAATGGACGAGTAGCAAAAGGAAACCGTATGCAACCAAAGTCACTAGAAGGAAACGATTGGAGTTTGCCAAAAAGTATCTTCACAAGGCACCAGAGTGGTGGCGAGATGTGATATTTGCTGATGAAAGCAAATTCAATCTTATGAAGTCAGTTGGAAGAGTTCTTGTGTGTCGTAAAGTGAATACAGAACTTGACAAAAAGAATCTGCAGCCTACGATAAAGCACAGTGGGGGTTACGTCATGATATGGGGGTGCATGTCAGCAGCTGGTGTGAGTCAAATTACTTTTATTGAGGACACAATGAATAAAGAATACTACCTGACAATACTGAAACAAAATTTGGCCAAAAGTGCCAAAAATTTGGGAATAAGAAACACGTTTCATTTTTATCAGTATAATGACCCTAATCACTAAGCGCATATTGTAAGAGAATGGTTACTTTAGAACTGTTGAAAGGTTTTGGACATTCCTCCTCAATTCCCAGATCTAAACCCCATCGAGAATCTTTGGAAAATTCCCAACAGGAAAGTCAGGACCCCAACCCCCCCCCCCCCCCCAATTTCTTCAAAAAGAAGAACTGAAGAGAAGATCGAGAGGGGAATGTGGAAATTTAAAGCCTGAAGAAACTAAGATAAACTGTGTTAAATACACCCCAACATTCACGAGAGGTTATTAATCGTAAAAGTTACCCCCTAAATATTAGAATTATTTTTGTTTGTAAATATTAGTTCTGTAGTCAGTATTGTCTATATAATTATGTTCAAAGAGTCTGAATATGAAATGGCATGAATTATTCTTTCTATTTTATTTTTTCCCAAAATGTAAAATGTATATGTAAAGTTCAATAATTTTGAATTTTTGATTTGCCGCAATAAACATGATACTATTGAATGCACATATCAGTTTTATTGTTTTTCATCCAGTTTCTTTTGTAAAAATTAAAAATCTATAAAATAAGACGGTCACCGAATATTGAAATGAGGCTAGGCATGTAAGTATAAATATTGTAAGAAAGTAAAACCACAGGAAAGTCTTGTAAACAATCAACAAACCTCTGGACACTTTTCACAATGTACAGTCTTCTTTAATGCTCTCTTAATGTAAACAAGCACATCTTGAAATGTTGGAGGCTCCAATTTTGTGTTTAATTTATTCCACAAATATTCAAGTTCATCTGGCTGGAGCACGCCCTTCATTTCCTGAGATACCTGAAAGTAATTTTACTTCATTAAGTACAGGTAAGAGACAATTTTTTAACACAGATCCCCATCACAATGATTTACATCAAGAGAATATTCAAAGTTAGATATTATAGTGCTTGCATTTCAGTACGACTTCATCATAAACTAATGAGAAACATTCCAATGAAAGTTAATGTAAATCTACATAACGGCTAGTTGCCTTTCATATACATGTTATTCATTAACACACCTTAACTGAAAGTAGACTTCAGTTAGTTACAAATCAAACATTTCCAAACAAAGGTTGACAAATATGTTGCTCTATTCTTGTTTGAACATTTCACAAAAAAACTAAAAATATTAGTGATTAATGCATTGTGAGCCTCCAGACAGCAAGGAACTTGCATTTCCAAGCAGGCTACTTGAAAGATCACAGTAGATTAAAAAATAGGATAATGAAATTGAACATGCTCTTAGTCTGACAGATTTCACCAAGAAAATTAATGAATACAAAAAATAATGGAAGATAAAAACATTATAAAGGCATAAAATAAAGGTAGGGGTTTTAATTGAATTCCATTAAACTTCAAAGTAGATATATACAAAGAAAAAGTTTGGCATACTATAACATAAACATGTTGCAAACTAAGAGCTACAACACCATGCACATTTTCATATATTTGCAACTTGCTTACTAATCTAATATTAGTTGAACTAGCAAAATAGTTTCCAACCACAAAACATATTTAACCAGGCTATGCCCTACCCGTAAGACTACCATCACTGGTTAAATACACCAATGCACAAAACCAGTCAGAAAGATGATCTGCTATTGCTACATTGAAATTCTGAGGTATTAATTAAAATTGAACACATACACTATTAATAAGCTAACTTTGCATTTTCAAGCAAAAAATTTGAAGAAAAAAAATCAATTTTGCCTTGACTATTTTAATTGTGCGTTTTTTTTTTGTTTTTTGTTTTTTTTTGTAAAGTTGTCTTATTTTACACAAAATTATAATTATAATATTTTATAATAATAACTATTTTTGAGATATTCTCTTTTCTTTAGTACAAGAAAATGAATGAGTGGTTCTACAAATGGCACAGACTTTCCCGTATTAGTTTTCTATTTCCTCTGGTCTCGGCAAGCTATTCGGACTTGCCACATACTCTTGCCAGTTGTCCTATTGCTGCCCAAAGCACATTTTTTTAAATTTTCTTAATTTTCTTAATTTTTGCTTTCCTAGTAGTAGAACAAAAATATTATTATAAGGATATTAAAGAATAGTAAAGCACCACAGTATATGGCAATTTCCTTTAAAAAAATTGGAGCCGTTTTTAAGAAAATGGTGCTTAAGCACTACTGTAAATTCGAAATTTGAAGCCCTTTTTCACAGATAATTTTTTAGCTTTTGAAAAACTTTTTTAGGAGTCATTTAACGCACTAACAAATGCAATAGTGTTTAAAATTACTGAAAATGTGCATATTAGCAGAGTGAGAGATATTCCAAAAAAATTACATTTCAGTAGTTAAAAAAAGTACCCCCAAAAACTAACCTGATGTTAAATTAAACAGTGTAATTGGCAATATCCGTTCGAAATGTTTGAAGATAAAATTTGGTGCCAGTTTTTGAGAAAATGGTGTTTGAGCACTTCTGAAAATGCAAAATTTTGAGCTTTCAAAGAAAATGGTTGAGTTTTCGAAAAACTTCATCTAACATTATTTAAAGCACATGCACTCATAAATATAGTAACGTAAATAAAATATAAATATTGACGACGTGAGAGACACGTCATAATAAAATAACATTATTGTAATTTTGAAAAAAAAAAAAAAATCGTATCAGTCGCCTTGTTAGAGGACTTTCCCCCCTTAATTTAGCGACTAGATTTATTCACCTTTTTATTATCAAGGCACGGCAATGAATTTTTTTTACAAAAATTCAGTTTTTTGCGCAGCATTACATATCTTTCCCCAAACTACGTACGAAAACGGGAAAGTAAAAAAAGGGAGAGAGGCATAACAGAATTAAAATTGACATTTTCAATACGAAACTATAATTAAAATAACTATTTTTCATATTATTCAATTTTTCTCGTGGCCCGTAGTTGGTGCGAAACCTGTACATATTTCATTAATTTCAAGCTTTCAATTTTCATTCATTCCTTCGTTCGTTCTTTCTTTCTTTTCTTTCAGGCCAGGCCTTTCTTTGCCAGGCCGTAGTCAGAAAAAAAATGGATAAATCCTGTTGCTAAATATAGAAAAAAATGTCCTCTAACACGTGGTGTAATCCAGTATCCGTTTTGTGGATCCTCGATACCGAAAAATCGATTGACGACAAAATGTTCGTCCGTCCGTCCGTGCACGACGCAAGCGCAAGTACTCAAACGCCATTTTCTAGAAATGACTCCAAATTCTTTCTTCACACTCTTCGAACGGATAGTGCTAATTGCACTCTTAAATATGACGTAAAGTTAATTTCGCGGTATTTGTTGTTTTTTTTCCAAAAGTTATACTAATGTAATTTCTTTGCAAGATCTCTCACGTCGTTATTATGTACATTGCCAGCAAATTGTAAAAACTATTGTATTTGTGAGTGAATGTGCTTCAAATGACTTCGAATGAAGTTTTTCGAAAACTCAACAATTTTCCGAGAGCAAAAGAAATTTTCTGAAAAAGAGCTTCAAATTTCGAATTTACAGTATTGCTTAAGCGCCAGCTTTTTAAAAACCGCTCCACATTTTTCAAAGAAAATAGCCATTTAGTGGTAGGTTTTGCTATTCTTTAAGGTTATTACACCTTCTGTAATGGATCTACAGTTTGTTCAGAACAGCTCAGATTTAAGATCAGACAACATGACCTTAACCCTTCTCTGTCCGCGCGATCTTAAAGGACACGGATACTCGCGCGGAGTACAAATGTGCTTCAAGTATTTTTCTTTGTACCAAATTTTATTTTTGTCTAATTTAATTACATCTAAATCTAAATTATTGTATTTTTATTATTAAAGGATGATTTGATGTCTAAAGTGTATTTTTTGTATACTCCTTGAAACTTTTTTCACAAATTTGTACGCAATAACACTAGTCTAATATTGAAGGAAATCGTCTTAACGCATACGAAAATTGAGTTTGCATCCGTACCTGCATTTTGCATCCGTTCGTTGCGTTAATTTATTCTTGTCTGTCATATATTTTGCAATATCCTTTGCTTTTTTTTGGGGGGGGGATAACATCTTTTTCTTCAGGAACCTCTACTAACAACAAAAATCCTCGAGATCTTAAGCTGTGTGGGAATCATGGGCATTCAACATCTGTGATGACGCCTAGATGTCAACAGTTAGTACTATCTTAGATTCACGCGGAGTACTAATGTGCGCTTACGACGACAAAGAACACTTCAACCTTTTCCACTTAAAATACTTGTGCAGGTGTGAGCAAGGTACGTATTGCACAATTAGGTCTGACATGAACGGCAAACTCATTGAATACCATTTGCGTAACACTCCCCAATCAAAGGAAAACTTTACAAAACACAGTGGAGTAAAATTGTACTCCGCGCGAGTAACGAAGGGTTAAGAATTTCTTCTGTGATAGCTGAGCATCACTCGGACAAACGAACGTCTTTCAGGACAGCTGCAATGGTAACACGTGGAGTACAAGTCCTATATTTAATTGTCTTTGAAGCGTCAGTAATAATCCGAGAACAAGGGAGCAGCTCTCCTGACCCTGATTGAGGCAATCGTACTCGTCTCCTAAATGATCCTGAGATATCACTGCAGATGCACAATTCCAAGGTACTATACAGATTCAAAAATACAAAACATCGAGCTGCTCAGTTGGCATGAATCGAAGAAATTCATCAGAAACAGTTGGTAAGAATGTATGAGGCTTTATATTGTGATTTTCCCATCTCTGCCCCAGGCAGGTATCAGCTGTTGACAGTTCCATACAATCGGGAGCTTGAACGTCACCATAGTGAGGTCACTAATGTGATGTTCAAGCTCTCGATTGGGTGAAATATACTTCCACCAGATTCAGAAGAGATTTATCAGTCCTGAGCCTGTCCTTGTCTCTACCGGCTCGGGGCGTGCTTGCTGCGTGTTTTGGTTTGAAAATTCGAAGACTGTGACACCTGTACCACGTTATTTTCTTACAGAGTACGCTTTCTGTTTATCAGTGACGTAAGTGTTTTAATGAAACTGGATTTACATACACCGAGACAGAGCAAATCCTCAGGTGGACCCCATACGTCTGACAACTTAGAGCAAGTGAGGCAAAGCTTTGTGAACAGTACAATTAGCCTGATGTGCTTCTCGACAGCTGGGTGTCCCACATACGACTATTTAGCGTGACTAGAGAAAACTAACTAGAAAACTAAAACTAACTAAATTAATTAGGATTCAACACACAATAATGAACATATACTATAAAATAATGGTTAATGTACATTACCTGACCCCAATCTGCATTACCATGCCAACTCGAAATACGGACAACAGTGTTCAACAGGCTGTGAATTAGGTCAGGACTCCATTCAGGAAAGTCAACAAGCACTAAAGAAAAGTCACAAAAAATATTTTTATTATCAGATACAATGTGTTTGCAAACATTTGAAAATCAGCATCTACAAATACAAATAATGCAATTGCCTCAATACAAGATGGTGATGTATGTTTCAAATGGTTTAGATTTATTTAGTCAAAAAACAGAAATAACCGTGTGACGTATGGAGAATATCATCTGCGCATGTTTTCTTAAGTTCCAGAACCCCTTCCTATCATTTTAACTATAAACAGTTGATGGATGAGTAAAAGTTAAAGATAAATAAATAAAAATAAAGATTAAAAAAGTGCGAGATTAGCAACATTTGAAAAACTAGACAATTTCGTTCCCGAGGTATAGAAAACGTATTTGCAACGGTAAAAGAACTGCAGGTTTGATTTTTCTGCATTGCTAACAAAACTAATTACTCACTCTTACCACTACTCCTACCACTATAAGCAAAAGGAGAGTTAAAGAAAAAAGAGTTCAACATAGTGAAGCTACATTTACGTCCAGAAGCAAAACAAAGGGCCACCTCAGCACTGAATATATATATATATATATATATATATATATTCCCGTTTTGTTAAAATGAACATTATATGCAGGAGAAAAGATTTTACTTTTAACTTAAATTCGAGTACCGACTTCAATTGTTCAATGTCATCTGGAAATGCGTTGTAAAGTAATGTGCACTTCTAGTACAGGCTGTTGATACAAAGGTTGCCTTTTATGTTTCGGGATTTGGCAAACCCTGGTGATGCAAATCTGGCAACTGACAGCTCAATCGTAAAGTTGGATGTTTTGGGGTTATACGTACTCAGAACGTTTTGACATACGAACGCTATTTGTGTTGTTTACAGTAACTTAAAAGAT